TGCCTTTGCTGAGGTCCAGCTGAGTCAGCAGTTTGCCAGGAGAGGCAGCACTGGGCGCTGGGGCGGTCAGGTTCCCCACTTCACCGTCTGGAGCCTGGAAGGGTTAAAGTAACGGAGAGCTGCTGGAAATGCCCCAGCATTCCTTGGGACCTGTGCTAGCCCTCACCTAAAAAAAAAATCAGAGCACACCCTCTCCCTGCTTCTCCAAGCCTTGCCCTCGCTCCGACCGGTCATTGCCAAGCTCAAGGAAAAATGTGTCACTTAAAATCCGCAGAGATATGTATTTTAAAAGTGCAGCGGTGGCATTTGCAGCATCGACACCACTGTTGGCGCTTGGGCTGAGACCCGCGCTAACTCGTTGCCATTTTTCGGAGCAGGATGGGATGGCTCTGTCCAATCTCTGGCTGTCAGGGAAATCAGTCCTGCTCTCGTTTCCCCTGCAGCAATAGCGAAGCAACAGCCAGGAGCTCAAAAACGATTCCTGCATCATGAGGACGCACTTGCAAGAATGACCGGCTGTTACCAGTGACAGCCCAGCACGAACTGGAGCAGCACACAGCATCCTCTGACACAGAAGAGCTTCCCTCCTGCTTGATGAAGACGTCCAAGCCCTCTGACAAGAGCCAGCTGGTTGCACAGCACCAGTGTCCACCAAATGCCCACGGACGGCGAATGCTGGGACAACTGGGGAGTCTGGATCTGTGTCCTGAGGCAGACGGCAGCACACCCTGGAGAGCACCGAGGAGCTTCAGGGAAATCCCAGGAAATTCTCCCACTTGAGGGGTTCTTCAGACACCTCTGGGGCGGCTCCACTTGCCTGAAACGTGTCCAGGGGCAGAGACCCGGCTGCATGCACTCCTGTGCTCTCCCTGGGAGCCCTCCCAGCCCTGGGCTGACACAATTCACACTCCAAAGCAGCTTTTCCAGCTACGAAAGCAGACATCCATTGCTTCGGTCACATTTCTGAGCCAACTTGCTCGCTTTCCTCCACCGCTGCCAAGCATGGCTTAAACCCAAGCCTACACCCTCCCTCCCCAATGCTCACGCAGGTCTCAGCTCACTTTTCCGTGCCCCGTGCAGCAGTTTAATGGTGCTCTGTCGGCTGTAACTGATATTTCTACCCCTAGGAGCTGAAAGGGTCAGACTTCAGGAAAATGAAAGTGTTTCCTGCCTGCTTAGGCCAGGAGCCGGCTCAGGGCAGCAGCAGGGCTGGAGTCAGGGCTCTCCTTGTGCTGTTCTGGGGCAGCCCCTTGCCTGGCACTCAAACCGTGACACCTCAGCTCCCAGCTCTGTCATCGCAGCGTGAATCTTGGTGCCACTAGGCAGAGAACAAGAGCATGAGCCAGCATCGGCATCACTCCACACTTCACGAAGCTCCTGTCGGGATACAGCCACGCCGCAGGGGGGAATTCATACAAGCAGCAACGTTCAAACCAGCGGGAGCAGTTTCTTGAAAAGAGAAGCTGAAACTTGCTCCTGTTTTCACTTGAAAGCCACCCAAACACTCTCTCTTCTTCTTACTCTGCTACTCGCAGAAAGCGTTTGCACCAAACTCCCCAGGGATATTCCTCAGCCTTCTGCCTCCCGTTTAATGCCCACGGTGGAAAGGAAAGAGAGTCACCCACTCCCGCTGCTCCAGGCATCGCCCCGGCCCCCAGCGTTTGAAAATCACAGCACACGGCCCACGCGTGGGCTTCATGCAGGAAGTGAGCTGTCAGCCGGGATTTCAAAAGGAACCCAAGCGACAGCTTCAGCTACTGCTGACAACACAAAGTTTCAGCCCGGAGCCTTTTATGAATTTGCTCTTTTACAGGAAGCCCTGCCAGATTACGTAACCCTGTGTGCTAACAGTACACGCGAGCTGATGTCAAGGGCTATAATTAGTTCCAAAAACATACAGCTCATTCCATTTCCTGTAAAAGCCGGCTTTCGAAGCAACTCTCGCAGCCAGCCGTGCAATGAAGCGCTGTTGTGAACACATAGGCTCAGCACTGTCGGTAACAACCAGAGCGTACAACCTGATATCCAGTTCCCAGTACCACTGTCTCAAAAATCGAACCCGTACGGGAACTTGTTAACCCTGTCCCACGTTTCGTTAACAGCGGGGTTGCTGTTCTGACAGACATTGCAGGTGTCCCAAAGGTAATGAAGGATGCAGAGGAAAGCACGCCAGGTCTAATGGTTTCTTCGAGAGCCTTTGAGAAGCACAAAACCTGCCTCCAACACGGATGAAGAGTTTCCGACCCGCGAAAGCGACCCACCCACTGCTTCGGTGGGATCTGCACCGAGAGCTCTGTGTTCCCAAGCTCTACCTTAGCCGGCTCTAACCTCAGCTCTGGCAAAACTCACAGGCTCTGTCGCGCTGCAGAGGGACTGAAACACACACAGAAAAGTTGCGGATGCTCCCAAATCTGAGCTCTAACCAGCAGCAAACCAAGACTCTGCACGGAAACTAACGGCAACAGTGGATGCAACGCCAGCTCAAAAGCAACACAGGACGAAGTACAGATTCGCCACTGTTAATACTCACCCAACTTCCATCCAAAAGCTTCACCTTTAGGATAACGCCTCCCTAAATATATCTCAGGGCTTCCGGCAACCTCCAGCAGCCACTGCAGGCAGCAGCAAGGAGCAGACGCACACTCCCGGCCTCCACAGTGCTGCCGGCAGCTCCAGCCAGCCCAGCGACAGGGACTGACACGACAGAGCTTCGTCGGCAAAGCCTAGAGTGCTCTGCCTCCCCAACACCAGCTTACCTGTCCAGGACCGACGGCAGCGCTATCAAACGTGGGAAAATCACATGCAATAGATCAAAAAATCCCCAACAAGCCAGCCCTGCCAATCTGGAGTGATCCTGGCATCCTCAGCCTTCAGTGCCAGCCTGTAAATCCCTGGTGGGAATCAGAGCTTGATCCCCACGGGAGGCTCCACACTCGTCCAAGCTGCAGCATTTATCACTCTGGGAGCTTGTCGATTTGTTCTTTGAATTATTTTCTCCCTGCAGATACCTCCCTCAAATCACTGGACTGTCGGACAGTCGGTTGCACCCACCCGGGCGCCCAGCAGCCCCTTTCCTGCTGTGCCTCCTCCAGCCCCGCGAGGCAGACCACGGGCCCAGGCTGCCTGTTTCCTCCCACATCCCGGAAAGCATCAACAGGAGAGTCACGAGTGCTGCACAGTGCCACAGCTGGGGCCACGGGGCAGCCACCTGAGCTGGGGTCAAGCCGTTGGCACACTGCAGCCACCGCTGAGCAACCGTCCTGCACAGGGAGCCAGAGCCCACCCATCCACCCTCGCATTTATGGATCCATCTCCAAACTGACGGCAGGTTAGGACAGGGCCCAAGGATACCCCTGCAGCAAATTCACCCCTTTTGCCACCGCCAGGAGCTGGGGTCGAGAGCTCTGTGTGACAACCCAAGACCACAAGAAAAAAAAAAAAAAAAAAACCCTCTCCAACTTGGCATCTCATGCTTTCAAACTCAACCACACCAAGAGTTGACCTGGGGAGCGGGAAGGCAGCCAGGATCCTCGGGACAGCACCTGGCACGTGTTTGGAGTCCACAGTAGGAGCTTTTCCTAACAACAGTGATCCACCTCCAAAAGGAGACACATATCGCACAGATACAACCTCAGATACACACTCAGCGCTTCACAAAGCAACAAAACTCATCACACCCAAGAGAGATGTGACCAAGAACCCTTTCTCCAGGACAGCTCCAGCTGCGATGGTCAGAAAAAGCTCAGAACCGCAGCGGACACTTGTTCTCCAGAGAAGATGACAAAAATGTACCTGAGGCGCCTGCGTCTGCATGGGCTGTTCCTCAAGCTGGGGCTGGACCGTCCCCATCGCGGCCTGGCTGAGCGTGGTCATGCGGCTGGGCTGCCCACACAGCGTCACAGTGATGGTCGTCGGGGCCTTCAAGCCTAAAACACACGAGAGATGTCCCTAAGACACGGGGACTGCAGAGGTGACATTTCCCAACCAGGGGTGCACCCGAAACTCTTCCCATGAGAGGTGGCTGCTCAGAAATTGCTAGCACACCCAGATGTGCACAGCCACATCTCAAAGGTAAAATAAGTTTTGGAAATGCCAGTCCCGGGGTGACGGGGTGCTCCAGGCGCCTGTATCGCACGCCTGCCCCTCTTCTCCCTCACCTGCTGCCTGGTTGGAGATCTGGGCCAGACCAGGGAGACTGCTGGCCAGCTTTGCCAGTCCCCCGTTCGTCAGCAGCTGGTGAATGGCCGTGGGCTTCCCGCTTGCCGAGGCTCCCAGAGACAAAGAGGTGGCAACCGGGATGGTGCGGACAATTGTGCCGGTGCCTGTGGTTATGGCACTCAGGTTCTGGATGGGTGCGGACGTCTTCACAGCGGAGGTCTGGAAGAGAAGCAGAAGCACTGAGCACCTGGAAGGAAAGGGGATGCCGGGATGGCACGGCCTTTCCCTCCCGCAGGTGCTGGAGGTCAGTTTCCAGACTTAATTCTGGTGGCCACAGGCAGGTCTAATGACAAGTGAACTTGACCCTTCTACTCTGTGCATATTTGAAAACGTGACTGGGAAAAACTGTGGCTCCGCTCCTAATAAAACCACCTGTTCTGAATGAGGTTGCCTCAAATTGAAGGGATTGGGAGCATCGCCAAGAACTCACAGGCGTGTATTTTCCCAAAACAAGAAAGAGAAAGATCGCTGATCCCTCCCAGTCCCTTCTCCGGCTCCTTCTCAGCATTTTCTAGGTGGCCACCTAGAAACAACTTCCCACAGCCCTGTTTTCTGGACCTCACATCGCTGCAGCTCACACCAAGCATCCCAGATCTATTCTGGTCCTGGAGCAAACGGGATCTACCTAGGCTCCCTCCAACTCCTACCGCTTTATCCTCCACACAGCCTCCCTCCAGAGAGGAATCTCCGATGTCTCCAGGCTGCGTACCTGCACGGGCGGCCCCGCAGCAGCCACGCTCGATGACTTGGTCCCAATGTCCTGCAGGCTGAAGCTCAGCCCTTGCAGCAGGCTGCTGGCAGATGCTGCTCCTAGAAAAAAGCAAAGAATAAAGAAATCAGGCTTGGAGAATTCACCGCCATGAAATTCCAGGTCTGTCACATGGCAGGTGTCTGCAAAACTGGTCTTTAAAGAGCAGCATCCCTCGGGGTCGGCAGGGATCCTCCTCACTGCTCTACACACACAGTCCAACACATTTCACTGCTGCAGCTACACACAAGGTTATCTGCGAAACCCGGGAAGCACGAGGAGGTTGGGTTTGGTACCTCAAGGCATCATTACAACCAAACGACACAATTAACAGGTCACCTACTGCACCTTCAGCCCCACTTGACAGCATCCCCTGGGATCTCTGCAGGCTCTGTGACAGCAAAGCACTACAAATGCTGCCTCTCCAAGCCCAGAGAAACCAGGGAATGCACGAAAGAGGATCCGCCGAGGGATTCCGAACCTGAGTTTGCCTTTGACATTCACAAGAGAGACACACGGAGAGAGGCGGGTACCTTGGAGGGTGCTGGCCGGCTGGGGCTGCATGCAGTGGGCGCTGCTGGCCACCAGCCTGCCCTGCAGGGCGTGGAAAGCGCTGGGCGTCGTGCTGCTGGGCATCCCGGTGGAGGGGGTGGGGCTCGCGGAGGAGGTTTCCACTGCTGAAGTCAGCCTACAAAGCGAGCGGAAGAGAAAGATGAATCAGTGATACACAGGGCAATGCGGGACGGCTTCAACAGCGAGCTGTCACTGGCCTGACGCAACCCAGCGGGACTCCTGGCAGTGTACAGCAGGAAATTGATGAGCTATAAAACCCAAAGCATGAGAAGCTTCCCTGTGTCCACTGCGGCAGCCAGAACAAGGAGCATCTATACCAAAAGCTGTGTGTTTCCAAACTGGAAGTGAGCTTGTTCTCATGTGTGTGCCCACCTCCGTGCTGCAAGGGCTGGGTCACCCAAAAGCAATCTACCTTGCAGCAAAACATTTCACCTTTAAAACCGACTTTCTATTTGAGAACAGCTGTTCTTCCTTTCCCCTCCCTATCAGTCCAGTTCTCCAAGGCTTGGTTTGAATTAAAAGAGAAAACAGTGTTGTGAGATGTCAACATCAGATTCATTCCCCAAAAAAAATCCCTACGGACAGCTGATCAGTTGATGAGCCGACACTGAGTCTTCTTTCCCATATCTTTGGGAAAAAAATGCTTGAGTGCCAGAGGGAATGAAAGGAAGGATTAAAGACAACACTGAGTTTCTGGCAAAGACCCCACAGGCATTCAAGTGACAGAGATAAGCAAACTTGGATTTGGGAAACCATACAGAAATACAGCCTAAGAGCCATGATACCTTCAACTGCTGTCCATTTCTGCCATTCTCAGACTCGACTGCCAGCTGACAAATACTTTCAGGAACCTAAGAGTCTCTTGCACTTCAGAAAATCTGAGTCATTAAGCAAGATACCAGAAAGCTCCACATGCAGAAATCACCCTGTTGCAGTTCTTTTATCAACAGCCGGTCAAAAACCCCCCAGCTTATAAAAAACCCGAAGTCACACTCACCTGGGGGTGGTGGGCAGTCCTGACAGCTCCTTTGCGCCCGACACAGACTGGCCGACAGCCATGGGGACCGGCTTTCCAGTGACAACTGCAAAAGAAAAAAGAGGAAACCTCACTCTCTCTCCTCCTCGAGTCTTTAGGGATTCCCCCTCTCGCACGACCACCCACAGACGCCGCAGGCCAGGGGCTCATCCTGCTCACAAAAGCCTCTTCTCAAGGACATCCATCTCGGCTGCAGCCACGCACACACTCCAGCCACCGTGCCTCAGGAAGTCGGGAGTGTCAGACAGAGAAGAGTTGTGAATAAAAACCAGAAAGCTGCCATTGTGGAAGTGTTACAACCGACAGGATTGAAGGAATCGGCTTCAAAAATCCGTAAGCAGTGAAATCTCAAGCCCTCGCCACCAAATGCAAACCTCTCTCCTAAACGTTGTCTCCGCTAATCCCCTCCTCCTCATCCCTCGTGGCACAGGTCGGCCGCCTCAACCGATTCATTCGGATCTGGCTGGTGGCTAGCGATTGGTTTTGTAAGCATTCTTTACAGACACTTTACAAAATACACATGGATGCAAGGAGTGACAATATTTGTTTATTGCCGCGTTTGGGGGATACAACTGCATTTGGCTTGTGCATTCCTCCTGCTCACACCCGGTAAGAGGGAATTCTTGGTTTGGTTCATGTTTTACTTCTGCAATTCATTTCCTTTCTGTGAAAAGAAGTAAAGTTTGGAAAATTAAAAAAAAAAGATTGTGGAAACCAGAGATTTTTCAAAGCTGACAGAAGGTAAACTGTAACCTTAAAAAAGGCTGGGGATTGACTCGTTCATTTTCACAGTTCAAAACAACTAAATTAACCGAGAGATACTTCCAAAGGAGCACAATTATTTCTCAGCTTTGAAAATCTCAGATTTCCTATCAGAACGGAGACGCTGACCTTTCAGTCCTGCACTGCATCGAGCTAAAAACGAGTGACTGCTTTACGTATCTGGGGCTCTGCACTCTGACGTGAGGACGTAATATACGACTGGCCACAAGGCAATGTCCTTCAGGTACCCGGGTGACTCAGACAAAGCTTCTGGCCTCCTTGCAGAGGTTCAAGGGGAAGAAGATGGAGCACATCACCTCTTCTTGGGCTGCAGGGAGCTCTGCAACGCTCCTTGCGGGGGGTTTTCCCAGCCGCAGAGGCAGGAGAGGAGCTGGAGTTTATTTACACGTGTTATCAAGCACGTGCTGTGCCAGGCTTCAGGCCCAAAGGGGAAGAGCAGAGCAGGGCGCTCGGTCGATTCGGGAAGTCTGAATGCGCGAAGGTCTTCCAGAGGGAGGAACATCGCCGTCATCGCCAGCATCGCGCGTTCCCAGTGAGAGCTTCGCGCAGGAGTCGCAGGAGCGGGCAGCGAGGACCGGAGACGCGCACAACCTACATGGAGCAAGGGGTCCGCCAGGACCGGCATCCTGCCTCCAGCAGCAGCTTGATGCCTCCGAGGAAGGTGTAAAATTCGCCTTGCAGCTCACAAGGCTGCGGTCGAGTGTTTCGCTGGAGTGTGCAATCCCAGCTGCTACAGCAAACACAGGCTCCTGCCGAGCTCCTCTGTGCCGTCAGCCTCCCGCTATCCCCAAGACACACCTCAAGCCTCCGTCTGTTTTCTGCAGCTAACTCCTCCAAAAATAACAAAAAAAATCCCCTCCCCTCCCCACACCGTGCCCCAGAGGAGCAGGTCTGTGGTTAAAAAAGCAGCTACGCAATCGCAACTCACTTTCTGCCTGGGTGCTGAGAGGCGCTCCGTTCCCCACGCCAGCAGCATCTCCGTGGGAGACAATGGTCACCTTGATTTTGGCTCGTTTGGAGGATTTGGTGCACTGGGTCGGGCTGGGGATCTGACGCCTCTTCAGTTGCGTACGTACATCGTCTTTCTCAGCCCCTTCCGAGTGCTCTGAGGAGACTGGAACTAGGGGACACAGAAGTAGCTTTTTGAAATGGCCGGCCAAATCCCTCGAGGTCAGCGCTGCTCCGCTGTGCGCACCAAGGTGTGGAGGAGGGATGCATGCCCATGCACACCTCCACAGCTCTCTCCATGCCAGCCTCACCCAGCTCCCATGCACCAGGAACCCACGCTTCTCCTTTTCACCACCTACGCTGACTTCCACGTGCCCTAAGCTGCCATCTTGGGGCCAAGACTCAGGCTTAAGTGACTCCCAGGGTGACACAGGACAGCCTACAGCCTGTTTGGCCTCAGCAGAGAAGAGAAACAGATGCCTACGGCGATAACGCACCTCCAGACAAACCCTTTTCATTCCAAAACGCAGCAAAATCAATCCCAGCATCAGTCCTTCCAACATCCCTAGTTTCCAGGCAAGGGGATGAGGGCACACAGGCTCGCAAGGGGACGAGGGCACAGAGGCTCGCAGAGTTGGCGCAGGTGCTGCCACCGCTGGGGTTAGAGCTCAGCCCGCCTGGTCCTCCAACACACCCAACACCTCTGTATTCGCGTGCCTGTCCTTTGGCACATCCCTTCCAGCGCTCCTAACGACCCTCCGGGAGTCGGACTGTAGCGTAGTGAAGATTTTTTAGAGGCACTAAGCGAAGCAGCCGTGAGCAGCAAAGCCAAGCCCCCACATCCCCTGTGCTGCTTTGTACCAGGGGAGAAAAGCCGCAAGCTGAGATTTCTCTTCACAGAATCACAGAATCACAGA